ACGAGTGGTTGTAGGGCGGCACGGGATCCGGATTAGGCCGTGGCCGCACCCGAACCCGATTGAGGTCATGAAGGCGCACAAGATCATAGAAAGAGTTCAAAAAGAGCAGAGGTTGCAATTCGGTGTGAAGGATCCCAGTACAATTATCGTGGTCACGCCGACCTATGTGCGGACTTTCCAAGCGCTGCATTTGACCGGTGTGATGCACTCGTTAATGCTGGTTCCTTACGATGTGGTTTGGATCTTGGTGGAAGCCGGTGGGATCAGCAATGAAACGGCGTCGCTTATTGCTAAATCTGGTTTGAAAACCATCCACGTTGGATTCAATCAACGGATGCCGAATTCCTGGGACGAACGAAATAAATTGGAGTCCAAAATGCGCCTTCGTGCTTTAAGGTAATCATTTATTTAATTTTTATTTATATTGAAAAAACGATGGCAATCTACGCGTTTTGGAATTAGGTGGTTAGAAATTTTGAGTTGATTCCAATTTTGTGTTATTTTGGGGGCAGAATTGTAAGAGAGAAGAAATTGGATGGAATTGTTATGTTTGCGGATGATAGTAATATGCATAGTATGGAACTTTTTGACGAGATCCAAAATGTGAAATGGTTCGGAGCAGTTTCCGTTGGAATACTTGCTACTCTAGCTAATACTGACGAATCAGCGGATCAGAAGAAGGATAAAGAGGAGAATCCTAGAATGCCGATTCAAGGTCCGGCCTGTAACGTGTCTAATATGTTGGCAGGATGGCATACTTTTAATACATTGCCCTTTGCGGGGAAAAGCGCTGTTTATATTGATGATAGAGCAACTGTGCTGCCTAGGAAGTTGGAGTGGTCGGGGTTTGTTTTTAATTCTAGGTTGCTTTGGAAAGATGGTGGAGATAAGCCGGAATGGATTAAGGATATTGATATGTTACATGGGGATATTGAGAGTCCACTGGGCTTGGTTAAAGACCCTTCGGTGGTGGAGCCACTTGGAAGCTGTGGTCGTCAAGTTTTGCTCTGGTGGCTTCGAGTTGAAGCTCGTGCTGATAGCAAATTTCCTCCCAGGTGAATCTCTTATCTGGTTCTCGTTATATTTTGGTATTATGCTGCCTAATGATTTAACGATAATATAATTGATGTTGGACTGATCATGTAGTTCTTCTTTGTCAGATGATTTAGGTTTGATGATTATGTATTGTAGAAGGTTAGATAATATAATTGATATTGGACTGATCATAGGGTAAGAAACTTAAAATACCAGATAACAAATGAATTGGGTTTGCATTCATTGGTCAATGTATGTTTGACTGTTCTGATGGTGTGTCAACTTGTAATAAACCTTATGTATGGAGTGACATTGACAAATGCCAAATTAAGCACCCTTTATTTCAAATCTTGTAGTAAATTTTCATTATTTGCTGCTTCATTAGCAAAACTAAGTGGTTTCATTGATATTTTAGAATTCAATGGGTGCAATGTGGCATAGTACAAATGTGTGAGGAATCGGTTGTGGCTGTTATGCTTTTTACTCCTCTGAACCATATGGGTTGGACTTGAATAAATAATGATTGAGTTATCATGGTTAATGCTCTTATGGATTCTTTAGTTGAATATCTTGAGATATTCTCTCTTGAACTTTTGCATCTTACATTGGTATTCTTGGTTGTATACTGCTGGATTTTTCTTAATACCATTTATTATATTGTTGACCACTTATCACACTTTCTGATATGTTTTTTTTGGAAGGGCATAGTTGCTGATATGTGATTTAATAAAGTAGTCTCTGCATTTGTTAGACTTGTTTACTAAGGGATGATTATTCCTTGATTTAATTGAAAATGCGTACAAACTACAATATATATGTGCTGATTTAGTAGTTTTTGAGATAAGATGCATTGGGGTGTGACTGTAAATATGTTCTACTCCCACCCCATTCCATTTTGGGATGTCCTGGAATAGTTTCCTCTTTTTGTGGATGCTCTCAAACGTTTTTTTTTAACTGAATTCCCAATTGATTTTCACCTTTTAGAAACTAGCCCATGCATTTTAATGTTAAAGAAGAATTTCCAAATTTTTGTTTCGGTAGAACAGAAACCTTGAGAAAAGTATTTACTTTATTTATTTTTAAACTATGTGCTGAGCCAATGTACAACATTCAACTTAGGGTGGTAGGAGTATCTTTTTTACCTTTATGATATGGTCACTTACCTGGTATTTGAGGAATTCTTTATGATTATTAGTAGATTTATATCCTTATAATTTAAGTTAGTTCTTATTTTTGTTCCTTATATATCGTATCTTGTTGCTTCCATGAGGTAAAAAATCTGGATTAGGAATGATATATTCGTGCCAACACTTAACCCTAATTGAGGATGTTTCTTGGATGTAAAGTGTCATGCATGCTTGATGCTCTCATGGGCTGCAGTTGGTTTTGTACATATATTTTTAACTTTAATGACTCAAATCAGTTTCTCCAGCTTGGTCTTCTTTCCATGCCATCTGATCATTAGTTTTACATCATGCAGATGGATAATTGATCCACCTTTGGACATCACTGTCCCATCAAAACGCACTCCATGGCCAGATGCTCCCCCTGAACTCCCTGCTAATGATAAACCAGTTATGGGCATCCAAGAGCCCATAGTGAAGCATACTACAAAGACACGAACATCCAGATCAAAACGTCGAAGTAAAAGAAAGCATGAAACAAGAACAGACACACAGGCTTCTACAAGGCATTCTGAACAAAACTAAAATCATTAGCTGGATATCTATGCATTGACTGATTTGAAACTGCTGCGCCAAGAAATTTGATTGACAAGGGAGGGATGCAGATGGTCCTATCAGGCGTTGGGTACATATGGATAGGCACCTCTCATAGCAGGCCAGTGTATATGTGCATTTCTGTTTGACTTCCTCCTGAGTTTCAACTATATTTTTTTTCTTCATTTCTTTTCCCATCTATAGTTTGTTGGGGTGCTTGATACTCTGTTTCATTGAAGAGGTATGTCAGCCAAGTTTTGCTCTCTTTCCTTTGTGAGAAGCTTGTATCTGACATGCTTTCGATTTACAAATTTATACATAATCTTGTAATAGGAATTATAGAGCTGTGTTCGGTCGTTGGTTTTTGGTAGATACAACACCAAGAATAATAAAATTTTCGTTCATCGCTAAACAATGTCTCTGCTAAACCTGAAAATGGTGAAAGAAAGAGAAAAAGGCCTCTGCCTGTTCATCCTTGATAAGTTGATTTTAAGAGTTGAAGTTGCTAATAAATCCCTGTGTTTCAATGACCTCATTCTGTCTGAAATTTCTGTAGATTAGAAAAGAAGCAAATGGGGAAACTGAAACGACTAGTACTTTGGAGAGCCAGCGGTTTCCAAGCCAATGCCTTGGCAGCTGGCGGTTGCCACGTAAAGAAACTAAAGACAAATCACATGTTGTCGAGAAAGTCACAGCGAAGGTTCGATTTCTGTTTGTATTTAAGTCTACGTAACAGCTAATGAAATTATGAAACAGCTTAGGCAGAGTGGTTCGAAGGGTTCCTTGGCTTTTATTCTATTGACCGTTAGCTTAACTCTGGATCTAACTATCGGCTGAAATGAACCTATCACCCATCAGCTTTTAATCTAAAACAAGCGTGCAAAATTATGAAGAGTACAGTAATCTGTCAATTCCTGTGTGAACAGATGGGGAAAGGAGAAATATTTTCTTTTTTGATAATCAAGTGGATTATGTTTACAATATCAAGTATAGTTGGTTGGCAACCCATGTAAGCCTGCAATTATTGGTAGCTTTGAAAAATTAATGCTCAACTCTAACCTATGCCACATGGTATTTGCTACAGCTTCATATTCCAACAATAATTACCGGCATTGGTTGCCGTGAGTTAATATTAACGACGAGGCCACTACTTTCTTTATGGGGATAAGCACAAAGCTTCAAGCCCGTGACTTGCTAACGCATCGGACCATTTGTGATTGGCTGGCTGACATATCAGCTCTCCCATGAACGTGACGATAACGGGATAACCTCGGTATCCTGAAAAATGACAAAGAAAATTTCTTCGATGTTATGTAAGCCTACGCCATGGGGAATCTTTACAGTTTTAAGATCCCCTCCTATATCAGTTCTCGGCATGAAGCTCAGGTTACCAAGTTATCATTTGTGTCAAATTAGCACACTTGCCTCAGTTCAGTTTTGCAGGATCCCTAAAGACATAAGAGATCAATTTTAGTGCCCCTTGACAAAGTCATGTATCAGACGAGATTGCGGCTTCAAGGATTTTTGCAGAGTAGATTCTGAAATTTGGAGTCTAAAGAGATCTCGCAGTGATGAGTAAATGATTCTCTTGGGATGCTCATATTGAGCCAAAAAAAAAGGTGATTAACTTAGAAAATGTATTTATTTTACAAATTCCAGGCAATTTGGAATTTTTCAGTAGGTTGCACTGAATTTCATAAACTGAGAATTGAGAAAGGAACATTAAAGCATGTTACGGATAGCGTATGATCAATTGCAAACAGACAACTACGAACGTTAGAGCAGATCATGGAGTTTATAGGTTTTGAAACTTGCAAACTCCGTTAGAATGACGCAACTTCCACATGCAACCTGGTAAATACTATTATCAGTCTCCTGCATTACCAATTACTTAGTAAACAAAAATATTCAAAAATAGTAAACAAAAGAAATTTATGGACATTCTGACATTCAAAATGACAACAACAACCAAAAAAAAAAAAAAAGAGAATTACAAGGCTTTTCTTTTTTTTTTTTTTTTGGGTTCCATTGAACTTTTTTGTTGGAATTTGACTAGAAGGTAAAGAGAAACCCTTATCAACAAGAAACCTGCAAACCGCAGGGGAACCCTTACTCACCCCTGATTTACCCGAGTTCCAAAGGACTCGGGCTCGGCTGGCCTTTGGTCTTTCTATTTTGTTGGGACATAGAACGACCCAAGGGGCCTAAAGCCTGTCTTCTGCCATCTACTCCTATTTCTATGTACAAGTTCGGTTTGGTCCCCCCTATCTCTCTTCCCTCTCCCTCTCCAACCCAATAACCTTTTTCTTTTTTAACTTTTTACCGTCAATAATGTTCCACGCTTGAATATTAAACCATTTCCATTGTCTTTATAAACTCTGAAGCTTTCTCCCCTTTTTCTTCATCAAATCACTCTCCTCAACCTTCCTCTCAAAGAAACATGACAACCTTTTTCAAATCTCCCATGGAAATAACCTTTTCCACCCTTATTTTCCTTTTCTTCTTCTTCACCTTATCTTCTGCTAGAGATACATCCATCATAACCTTAAACCAAAACCATCCATCATCATCAAGCTGGAGAAGCGATGATGAGGTGATGAGCTCGTACAAATCTTGGGTCTTGAAACATGGCAAAGCATACAACGGTGTTGGAGAGCAAGAGAAGAGGTTTGAGATCTTTAAGGATAACTTGAAATTCATTGATGAACATAATAATAGCTCTAAGAGCAGGACATACAAGCTTGGGTTGAACAAGTTTGCTGATTTAACTAACCAAGAGTACCGTGCTAAGTTTTTGGGGACGAGGAGTGATTCTAGGCGTCGAGTCATGAAGTCCAAGAACCCCAGCCAACGTTATGCTTACCGTGCCGGCGACAGCTTGCCGGATTCAGTAGACTGGAGATATCATGGAGCTGTTAATCCGGTCAAGGATCAAGGATATTGTGGTGAGTAAATTTCTTTTAATTTCAACTTTAAAATAAATTAATTATGTATATGCACTTCTTTTTTTTTTAACTCGTAAACAGATGATTTTTGAATGATCAAAGTGTCCTAATCTAAGATCAGACTAAAAATCAGATTACTAGTGACTTAAGGCTTTATGGTAATTTCATGATTTTTTTAATACTACTTATTTAATTAAAATTATTATTAGTTTATTCTGATTTGATTTTTAATTTCCTTTTTTTTTTCTTATAAAAAACCGAACTAGGATTGGCGGCAGAATGGTAGTTATGAAAATGGAATGGTAGTTATGAAGATTAGATTTTTTTATTTTTAGAAGGTAAAGTCTTCAATATTTTTAATGTAATTAAATAAACCTGCCCAGTCAAGCCAAACAAATGGGCTGGGCCAGCCCAAGGTCATAGCAAGACAAATCCAACAGACTATAAATTGCAGCTTGGGCCAAGGCTCAAAATTAAAGTGAAAATTTATAGGCACTTAAAGTTTTCCTTGGATTTGGACTGAGCCTGTTTTCAAAGGATCCAAGAGTACCAAAAGCGAAATTTGGTTAGAAAATCCCAACTTAGCCGCATCTATTTTCACTTGATCAGGAAGTTGCTGGGCATTCTCAACAATTGCAGCAGTGGAAGGCATAAACAAAATTGTGACTGGCGAACTAATCTCTCTATCAGAACAAGAACTAGTAGATTGTGACCGATCCTACGACGCAGGTTGCGATGGTGGCCTAATGGACTATGCCTTCCAATTCATTATTGACAATGGTGGCATCGACACTGAAGAAGACTATCCTTACCTTGGCGTTGATAATCAATGTGATCCAACAAGGGTCGGTTTCCAAAGTTTAATTCTAGGACAGTAGTACAGTTCGGTTGTTTTTAATGGTTATGGATTTTGATGGTTTGTTTTTTTTTTTGGTTTTTTAACAGAAGAATGCTAAGGTTGTTAGCATTGATGGGTACGAGGATGTTATTCCATATGATGAGAACGCTTTAAAAAAGGCTGTGGCGCATCAGCCTGTGAGTATTGCCATTGAAGCTGGTGGTAGAGCTTTCCAACTCTACGAATCGGTAAGCTGAACTATTCTTCTCTACCCTTATTTCATTTAGTTCTTGTCCTTGAAGCCATAATTTAATTTTACAATAATACTCTAGTATTTAGCTGACCACAAGATATCGATCTTTCTATGAATGATTTCTAACATAAAAAAAATGTTCATGGGGACATGTCATATTGTCACTAACAGCTTTTACAAGAATTGGAGTGCTTTATTAACTCAGTTGTCATTGTTTGAACATTTTCAGGGAGTTTTCAATGGTGAATGTGGGTCAGCTTTAGACCATGGCGTGGTTGCTGTCGGATATGGCACGGATGACAATGGTCAGGATTACTGGATTGTGAGGAACTCATGGGGCAGCAGCTGGGGTGAAGATGGATACATAAGGATGGAGCGTAATATTAATGCCTATACTGGCAAGTGTGGCATTGCGATGGAGGCTTCCTATCCGGTTAAGAATGGGGCAGACATCATCAAACCTTACTGGAATAATGAAAGCACTGAGAAGATCAGCAGTGCTTGAAATCTTTTCTGCAATTAGCAGTTCTTGGAAGTTAAAATGTCTCAGCTGCTGTTTTGTGCCATTGAAGAACACAAAGATCGACTGATGCAAATAATGATGCTTGTTGTGAAAAATTCCCTCTCTATTCCTTGTTGGTCTAAGTTATCCATATAGGAGTAGGGCTATTTATGTTGTTTGGATTTATCATTGTTGTACATATATTTTCATTTATCAAAACGGCAGCTGGAAAACTGGTATTGTTGTGACTTGAGATTATTGCAATTTCAATTCAAACTCCATCTTTATTTGCCAAGTACTTTTCCAAGTAGCATTTATCTAGTTCTCTTTCAAGGAACAATTAAAAGCATTATTGTTGTTGCATTACTTGGGGGGAGGGGGTGTGGAATTATTCCTGGAAATTAGCAAGCCGCATCAATACTCTGCATTATTCAGTTCTTACCCAATTTCCTTCCTACCAAACAATTGATTAATGTACACAGAAAGCAATTAATCAAATTTCTTGGGGTTGATGTTCTGTTCAATTTCTTAGAGACCTGTGCTTATTTTAGAGCATTTGAAAATTAGTATGCTTGGTTTTTCTATTCAAATTCCACCTTGGTATGAGTGTTGTGTTAGCATAAATGTTTCTAGTTTTGAGGTTGATAAGCCTCAGTGGCCAGCCAACTTTAGTTAATTTCTTAGGCAAGTTGCATCACCGTTTTTAATAGTAGTTTTGTTTGAGATACTATAAGCTTGCAAGTAATCTGCCGCTGCACGCTTTGAAGATATTTTCAAAAGTTGCTGAGGAAAACTTATAAACTTTGTATCTTTATTAAAATTGGAGAGTTCCGCTTTGCTTAAGTGAGAATATGATTAGTTGAACAAAGTAGAAATGTTGGAGGACAAGGAAAGAATCTTTCAAAAGCTGAGAATGAAACATCATACCTAAATGTCATCAGGAAACTGTTATTCTAAGCCAAGGGGGTCCGTGTGGGTTACACAATTGGTTCAGATCAATTAAAGCATTAAATAAATAATTTCAGCTCCTTGTATTGTACATCAATTACTACTATTTAACAACTTTGTGTATTTAAGAGTCAAATTTGCTATTTCAGAGTAGAAGTTTCAAATCTGTCCTGTTTATAGAGAGGCATCTTTTTCAAGCCAGATCATTTCTGGATATGCTTTTGATCAATTAAAATGGTAGCTGTATTCAACAAAGAGCTCCTGAGCTGGTATCTAATCACCTGGAATCTGGAGTTCCTAGATCATCTACAGTTACCATCAAATCCCTTGAGTTGCCAGAACTAAATGAACAGCAGCTGATAAACAACAGCATGAACCATCTGATTCCCTGCAGGTTGCAATCAATGAGGATGGTGAAATTGTGAATAGGCAGCCCCTATGCCAGAGTCTGAGTGGATTATATCAATCAAAGAAAAGCTTGAGTAGGCACACCAAGATGATGCAGCAGGTTCATGGGAAAGGTTGAGCATCTATAGAGTTCCCCGCTACCTAAGAGAAGGTGATATCAAAGCTTGTGTCCCTCAAATTGTCTCCCTGGTACCTTACCATCGTGGCAAGAGACGCCTACGCCAAACGGATTAGCACAATCAGGAAATACAGCTGTATGTTGATTCCATGAAGGAACTTGAAGAAAGAGCTCGCGCCTGTTATGAAGGAATCATCACTCTTAGTGGTAATAAATTTGTGTAAATGCTGGTTCATACATGGCTTCTGGGGATTCAATTTGCTGAGGATTCTTTGCCCCTTTAATGCCAACGGATGAGCCATTAACAAGGAGTGACGTGAACAGATTGGGATCCTCTCCGGGGCATACAATCACATTTGGCCCTTTTTCTGATCTTGGTGGCCTTCATTGCCTTGATATTTTCAGAAGTCTCTTACGCTCCGGCCCCAAACCTGTACCTAGAATGTGGCTCAAGAGAAGGTCAAATGCGATTCGTGTTGCTGATAAGCGAAGAAAACAATTAATTCATTGTGTATCAAAGCTCAGAGAAGCTGGTATTAAGTTCAAGAAAAGGAAGATTGATCGCTTCTGGGACATTTAAGTTTTCAGAATGGGATTCTTCGCATTCGTCGCCTCTTGATTCACGATCTCAATCTAATTGCGTTTGAGCAATGTCATCTTGATTGCAGCAATGATATTTACTTCCTATGTCATCTTGATGTGCGATACCTTCATTACTTTGGTATTATCGAGCACTGGCTTGGCAGAGATGCACAAGTAACCGACCTTTTCAACTGCCTTTGTCAAGAGGTTGTTTTTGATGTCTGAAGATGTGAACAGATATTACAATCATAGGTGGAATGCTTCGCATGCAGCCTTGAAACACAAATACTTCAACAATCCTTTATGCTTGGGCCATCATCTCATTTTTGCCGCTTGCATATATTACTGGTGCTTACTTTTGCTCTGACCCTCCTTGTGGAGTTTATGGATATTACAGGCCAAAGTTCTTGAATTCAGTAAGGTCCTCTATATCAATCTCTCTATTCTGTTTGAAGAGATTGCTTTTATATACATCAATGGTTTCCATTCATTTCTTCAATTCAGATATGGTTTTGCCACCAATCGTTATCGAGTCAAAGGGAGAAATTTAAAAAGATTGATGCGATTTTACAAAAGCAGCAACAAATTCAGTGATTTAAAGCAGCAAGTTTCACCAAATGTTGACAATACTTCAGCCCTAATGTCAATCTCAGAAACACAAAATTATGCAAAAGCTTTAATTGTGATTAATAACAAGGCAATGGAAATGCTAATAAGGAATAGAATAACAGAATATCCAGATTCCAGGAATATTGCAGAGGTTGCTGAAGTAAAAGGCATCCTCGGGAACACGAGGATATTTCAACTTCAAATGTAAAATTCAAAACAAAATTTAATGTAAACCAACGGCACTGCTTGATTAGTATTATCTTCCGTAAAAATACATGTCATTGGATGAAGGTACAGGCAACGGAAAATGTTGCATGCCCCTTTCATACAAAGCATTCTTTGGCAAGTACTTTGGTTTCTCTAAGCTAAACTTCTCCACAACATCAAAAGCTAATCCAATAAAAAGCTGGAGAAAATGAACGAATAAGCAATGCGTGATTGATGATCCTAAGAGAGAACTTGTACAAGCAGCAAATCCTACAGAAATCCAGCTGAGAAAACAAAAATGAATCCAGAGGAAAGAGGAAAAGAAAATTACACAACATCCAAAGAACAAAACTGTGTAGTATGTGATATATACCTGAGGAATTTAATCCCTGGGAGCGTTTAGGTTCATGCTTTCTGTTGAAGGTGCCTTCTTGCCATCATATCGCTAACAAACGAAACAAAGAATAATATTTATTTAGAATGATCAAGCACACAAAACACGATTGAATATACAAAGGAAAAAAAGGACACCAAGTATCCTGTCCGGCAGTCACAAAGGAAGATGGATTGAGGAATACCTGTTTCCCAAAGGAGAAAGGAACGTATTTGTATTTGATCATGTGTAGTATCTGTCTCTTCATGGTTAGGATGAATAACATTAACCAATAGAAAAGGAGTATTGGCCAAAAGACAGGCACATCAAACACACTGAAGAATGTCATCACAAAAGCAATGCAGAACGCCTTGGTAATAGAGTACCTTCACACATAAAGGGCCACGTAAGAGAGGAAAATGTTAGCATTAGGCATAAAATTTGCTAAAGTAAAGAAACCCGGTTTTATGGCACCCTGTGTATACTGCACATGTACCTTAAGTTTTATTTTAACTGTTACAAACTGCCATAGAGAAAGAACAAGAGAGTAGCCAAAAATGTAGAAGAGAGAAAGAAAAGCAACTTGATTCTCCGATCTTTGTTCGACCTCAATTCAAAAAGAATTTATATAGTGCATACTATGGTAATAGGAGACCTCAACGTGAAAGATTCAAATTTGAATCTACACTGAATTTTGCCATTAGTTTTATAACATGGTATAAACTTCCCCTAAAAGTGAACACTTCAGGGCATAAGTTTCTACACAGCGACACCATCCAAAAGACAAGTGAGAATATGTGATAAAGCCTATGTTAACATAGTAAGCTTCAATCGACATGCACCTTGGAATGGAGGGAAAGGGTAGAAACTTCGATTGTATAGGCAATGGGCAAGAAAAAGCCTACTAACTCAACAAGTAAGTTTAGACTGGAGGATAGGGCTATTTTGAAACACTTGATCATTCAGAAAAAGGAACCAAAAGCTTGCAACAAACATCTTAAATTTTTTCATCAAAAAAGAATTTTCTTTTATAATAAGATATATGATCTCTTCATTAATCAGCATTGATAAAAAAAAAAAAAGTTATCCTCTTCCTCATGATTCAACTCAATTAAACTTAATTTAATTTTAATTAAAGTTAATCATTTGAGCAAATCACAACCGCTAAAAATAAAGAGTGAAATGGCGAACCAGAATTTGAACTCGGGGAGTCGGCGAACGAAAGGACGAAACTCATCGGATCCGCGGGTGGGGAGGGAGGGCCATCCTGCATCTCGGGGTCCACCTGAGGAGAAAGGAATCCCATCAGGAGATTGAGCAAGTAGATGCCGAGGGCATAGGTGATGATGTAGAATCCCTGCACGAAGTACACGCGTACGGCGTAGATCAACACCAGCGCCAGACATCCGATCCAACGGTTCAGAATGTGCGGGACCGTCTTGTCCAGGACGTGCTGGTGCCGCCGCGACACCTCGAAGGTCCACCGCGATATGGCGGTTGCAGGAGACGATGAGGATAGATCGTCACCTCCCAGGGCACCGCTTCCGGTCTCCATCGGGCCCCTAGTAAAAAAATATAAAGCCTATACTTTTTTTTTTATATATATATAAAACAAGTTTCTTCCTTTGCTTGCTTTTCCCCTCAAAGGATAGCGTCTTCTTCCAATAACAAACTACAAAGCTTTTTTGAGCCTGAGTTTTTCGGCTCGTGCTCGAGCACATGTATTTTTGTTGGGTCAACGTCATCCATCGGTCCGAGTAAACCGGACCTACTTTCCCTTTTATATATAAACTAGCTACTTTAAATTTTATTAACTTGGGTAATTAATCATCTAATTATAATTGATAAATTTAAATTAATTACGAATTCATCAGTCAAAAAACAAGAGCCTCCATCGAACGATGTTTCCAAAGGCATAAACACTAACGAAGTAGGCAAACCTTCCTCAGGACTTGAGATCCCCAGTGTGCACTCGATGGCGCAAGTGATTTCAAGGCAATTGCTGCCGAAGCCTGACTTGCGGGTTTTGGGGATGAAACAGATTGTGAAGACGAGTGAATTAGTGAAACATTATTGAGAGTAAAGAATGAGAAATACCCATCAAACATGTTTGAAGCTAGTCTTCCTCCCACAATGGAATGCAAATATAATTAATTTTAATCCGTTGAGGAAAGAAAGTATGAGGTTTCTAACTCGGAACAAAACTGAAAAAACACTTATAGGAGATAATGAGACTAGAAAAAGAATTCGATGACTAAGTTATTTGGTTTTTTTAGGAACCTTTTTCATTTCATCAACCTTCTTTAGAAGGTTAGATATCATCTTATCCTGCAAAACAATTCGAGAATCTTTCTCTTTCAGTTCTTGCTTCAACCTTTCAATCTCTTTTAAGTGACCATCAAGTTGATTGGAAGTTGCCGTTGTCACCTCCACAGTTTTCTGATCTGTCTTAACCTTGTCGGATTCAATAGATTTCTCCAGCCAAACAATTCGAGCATATTTCTCATTCAGTTCTTGCTTCAATCGCTCAATCTCATTTAAGTGATCATCAAGTTGATTGGAATTTTCCCTTGTCTCCACAATTTTCTGATCTGTCTTAAGCTTTTTGGACTCGCTAGATTTCTCCTCACCCTGGAAGGCTCTTTTATTTGATAAAAGTTGATGGTGAAAATCATCCTGTGCCATTTTTCGGATGTATAAACTAGCAGTTACTCCCTTGCCAAACAGAAATCTAACTAGTTTCTGAGGTAGTCCGGATGAATCCTGACATAAGACATAAAAAAAGACCTAAAGTTATCATGAAAGACAAAAATGTATTCTTATTTAAGGCATTGACATTGATGGCCAAAAAAAATTAAGGCATTGACATTCAAAAATATCCATCACAATGAAAAACATCATAATGTTGTGGAAGAAGAAAAGATCATTGACATATCATGAAGAAAACCTGGCGCTTTAAATGAAAAACCAGGGTGTGTTGTAAACAATATTCACCTTTTCTTCATTACCGTCCACATTTTCAAATGCTTGGTTTGCTTCTTGAGGACTATTAAAGACTGCAAACGCAGAGTAATGGCGACCTTGAACCTTTTTAGATGGCTGCAAAAAAAAATAATTCACCATATTAGAAACTCAGCAAGGATAAGTGAAGATTAAGAAAAGAGAACTTGAAGGAAGAGTGCTTGTCAAAGACCAAGTTATTATCCAATTCTTTAAACTTCAAAATATATATAAGACAGGTAATTTCTGGCACTTCATCTTTGGAATATGGAAGACTTTGGATTAAGGACAATGCAGTCACCTGGGAACAGCTTTCATAATGCAGGGTTGATTGAGTTTTAAGAATTTAGCTCATCTTTCAAGTGCCATAGTAGAAACGCAGTTTATCAGAGTCTTTGAGAAAATACTTTTAATAACCAGAAAATGTTCAATCTAACTATCCCAATTAATCAATTTTTCATACAGAATATCTCAAAAGAAACCATCACTTCACTAGTCTCAATCTTTTAAACATAAGATTCGCAGCACTCCAAGGTAAAGAAAAGCTAGGCAAGGATTTCTAAAGAGAAAAGAGGTTATGATCAACCTTTTCTTCAATTGCAACAGCTCCAGGAATGACTCTGGATATTTCTTCTTTATGAACATTGATCGGTATTCTGTGGAGTAGCAGCTTCTCCATTTCTGGTTGAGTTACCTGGTTTTCCAGAAAAAAATAAAGATACATAGTTAATAATAATAATAAACAGTTTAAAATACAGATAACCAGCAGAGATATGTCCATACATCTTCTTGAACCAGTGGAATGTCACCACGCTCTAGCTTAGCAAGAACTAGTTTCATTGCAGCACATGCATCATCTAGACAATTATGGGCAGCACCTGGCTTTCGAACTTCATATCCCAGTAGAGACTGTAACAAAATGTAAAGAACAGTTAAAACAAGCATCTAGAACTATCACTAGACTTTTGCCTTCTATACCACCATGCAAGGTCTTAACTAAGAACAAAGCAGTCTTATTTGTGGTCAAGTAATGAGTAAAATAAAGGGGATTTTATTGACAAGCAATTCATAAAACATCCCAAAGAGCTATATATATGTATATATATATATATATATATACACACACACACACTTAAGTAGCCAAAAAGGAAAAACAATGCAGTATTTAATTTGATAAGTGTAAAACATGCAAAAACATCACATTTAGTATTTCAGTTTCTTTCCATCAGAAGTTTTTAAAAAAGAAAAAGGACACTATCTGGTACTTGCCTTGCACAAGTTATTCAAAGATGGTTTTCTATAGATAGGTGCATCCAAATATTTGAAGATATATGAGGTGTCAATCACTCTTGCATGGTCTATCTTCAACACTGTATCCAAAAAATAATAACATTTAAAGGTTAAGAAAGGAAATCATAGCTAAAACCACCATATAGGAAAAATATAAGTCTCATAGGCAACTGATTCTACCGTAAATTAAAATGAATTCAAACTTTTAGCTGTTATGCAACATACCTTGCAAATCATTTTGTAAACCATGTCCCACTAAAATAGTTCCATTGGATAACAGCTTCTTCATGGATTTCTACGAAATGCACTCCATTGCTCAGACAAACAACACTGAAGGAGATCCAAGAAAAAGAAAAATTAGCCATCCCATACCTGTATGTCTACCACTGAACAAGTAACACCATCCAAGTCTCCTGCAGCAACTCCAGTAATCTCAGTACGATAATCAGCCACTGCTTTGTTTGGTTTTACAAGTTCATCAATTTTGACCTGAAAGAAACAAAGACCAAAAACAAAAGGTTTCTTTTTAGCTATGCAAGATAAAGAAATGATGATTAACAATTAAATTCCCTTGAGCTCAAAGTAAGCAGAGGATACAAATTGACAAATTAGAAACACAGAAGAGGAGAGTCCACAGCAAGTTTTGCATTCTTTTGAGGTGGTATGTTGGACGTTAGTTTGCATTATGATGCTGTAGCATCAAAGTTCCTTTTTTTTTTCTTTTTTGCCAACAAAGGTCCTTTTTTTTTTTAATTCTATAAAGAAAATCCACTTGATACCTGTAAATCACGATCTACAACACAAACTCTCACTAATGCTTCAGTGCCATCTTCACAAAGAACCATTTCACAATCAACAGCAACCATTGAATTTGATTTCATCATCCGGGATTTTTTAGGGGGCTGGGTAACGATCCATTCCTGCACCAAAAGAATCATTATATAACTATATAAGGATTCTGAAGAATGGAAACAAGCATAAATCAGATGAAGGCAAAAACCAAGAAGAGATAGTGGCAACGAACCTCATCACCTGTCGGGAACATATAATCTAGTGGATATTGTGGGTGTTCCAGAGTTAAACGAACAAGCCTCTGCACTGCCACAATAACTAATTAACAAGACCAATCACAAACTGGTACTAAGGAACTACTCACAAAACGGATTGCCTCACAAAAATGCTAGCATACCTGCTCAGGGGATTCATTATCCTGAGATTGTTTTCTAAATTGCTCCACTATGTTCCTATTTGAATGACTTTGCAACACTCTATCAAAAAGCTGCCAACAAGCGAAAGAAAGAAAAACACAACATCAACATCCTCGAAACCTGATTACTAAACAAAATACAGTAATTGAAAACAAACAGCAATTATGAGTTTACCTTCAAATCATCATCTTTTGCAAATGTCTTGAGGAATGATACTAAGACATCATTGGACCTCCTAGAGGGATCACTCAAAGAAGCACCAAGCTTTCTGTCATAAGTATTCAAAAAATCCTTCCATCCTCCTTTTGTTCCTTCCAGTCCTCTCTTTTGAACTAACTTCACGATTTCAACAAGAACCTGTTGGAATTTTAAAGCAATAAAAACTGAATTTCAATTAATTTAACATTTTATTTAAAAATTACTCCAATCAATGCCCATTGCTAAATACTAACCCAATTCAGCAAACAGACTGAAAGAAAATGCAATAATTGCTGAAAAGACTAATGGAAATTTAAAAAAAAAAAATCAAAGCGCTTTGCCTTTTTCTCGGCCGTTTCGAGTTTCTCGTCCATTCGGAATTCGACGAGAGAGAGATTTTGAAGGAGGCGGGAGCTATTAGCTATTGGGGTTTAGGGTTTTTTTGTTTTTAGGCTCAAGCGGGTGACGGGTCCGACGAAAAAAATGAATAAAGAAGGAAACAGTTAAATAGTTAAATTTCATCTATGATCCCTAACATTTAATTCTTTTTTCATCTGTCTCTAATTTATGAATAATTGCATTTTCATCCTTAATCTATTAAAAAAATATCATTTTGATCCTACACTTTTTGTTTTTTTGCTAACAAGTAACAATAAGAAAAAATCCAAGCACGTAATTTGTAACATACACATTATATTAGTGTTAAAAAAATTATTTGATGGAATAATAAAAATAAATTTCTTTTAAAATTTAAGAATGAAATCAAATTAAAAAGAGACTTATACTAATTATACATAAAAAGGATCCTTACGCTTACACATATTCAGTTTTTTCTTTTCTTTCCACGATTTTTTCCTTCCTTTGAAGAGAGTCTGACATTTGTTTACAGGCTATCTCTAACAAAGTCACATTCTACATTCTCCCATTCTCTTTCCTTCTTTCTTTCTCTTCTTTCTTTCTTTGTATTTTCATTTTTACTTTGCAAGAAAAAAATGGGTGATAATTTGTTTAAAGGATTACATCTCCTTCTCATCAACAACCACAAGAAGAAGAAAAAGAAGGAAAATAAGGCAAAGATCAAAATTTTTTGTCTTTGAAGATAGATAATAGCAACAATAGCAAGGAAACTTCTCCAAACCTAGCTCTTAAAAATGCTCTTAAGAGACCTAAGGCCACAGAATCTAATCCTGAAGGTAAACCCCACATTTTGTATAATTCTTATATTTGCTTTTCTTTCTTGTGGGTTGGTAAATTTATGTTTTCATTTGATTTTGAATGCTAGTTATTGCATTTTTATTTACTCTTATGAAGTAGAAATTAAAATGGGTATTGCTTTTTGGATGCCAAGAATATGTTTTTAGATGGAAATTTAGGGATTTTGCAGCATAATTCAATTCAAAGTTCCTTTCTTTTTTTTTTTTTATTGGTAGGGGTGACTTTAATTCTGGGTTATGAATTATTGGTGCTTGAATAGTGAAAGTAATTTTTTTTCCTCATGAATAATGTTTGATATATTTGGCATTTTGGAAGAAAGTGTTTTGAGAATGATAATTGAGTATGGCCTTGGGGTTTTATGAACATGAACTTACCTAAGCGTTTAATTCTTTGGTTTATGAGAGAGACTAGGTGAAAGCAGAGGTGAAACAGAGGTAAACCTATGCTGGATTCTTCGAGGTATGTAAGCCCAAAAAGGGGAAGAAAGTGTTTGTTTCTGTTGTTTCAAGATCAGTTGGAAATTTGGTTGGACAATTAGCAAAATTGTTTGGTTATTATATGGTTGGATGCGCTGAAAGCAAAGAAAATGTCAACTAAACTACTTTAATGTTCATTTTCAAGGTTTAATTGGTTTGAAGAATTTTAATTTTGTTGTAGGTAGCATTGCTTAAAGAAAAGCTTAGCTTTAATAATGCTTTCAACTAGAGGGAAAAAACTGATTTGAGTTGAGTCAAATGAATAAAATGGTTCTTCTCAAAAGAAACCATAAAGAAGTATAAATAAACCTACAACCACTATACAAGTTGGATTTACTTCTACTTTTTTTTGCTTGCATTTTTATTTCTATATTTCTCCTGCTTTGATACTGTATTTTGAACATGTTCTAGCTTTGGTGTATTACATGTTTGTTTTCTGTTTCCCAATTTCTGTTTATAATTGTTCATCTCTCCAGTTGTGCACTATAGTTTGAATGGGCTTACAACTTGTTTGAAGAGATGATTAGGAAAGTTATAACACCAAAATATCAGACATGCTGTTTATTTTTAGATGAAGTCAAAGAGAAAAATTTGTATGATGTAGCTGAGAAAATTGAAAGTTTCATGAAAAAATTATAAACTTTGCCAGGTGAGCATTTAATCCTATTTCTCCATGAAAAATTCTCAGCTTTTACTAGACCCAAACATAAGATTTAGAACTATCTATATTTGGCTGATAAGGGCAAAGGCTATCATGACCAAAGCTGTGGTGGTTTTTGTCTGACATGCGTTATATTTTAACAAAATGAAATAAAAAAAAAAAAAGAAAAATGTAAAATCAGAGATTACATATATGATTTTTAAAGGTTTATCAATTTTATTTATTGAATTTATGGTTGGTTATTTTATGTAATTTGAAGACATGTGTGCTTAGGCCTACTGTTGTTATTGATGGACTTGATATTGTTCTTGGAAAATGTAAGTACACCCATATCATTGTCTAATTTAAAAGAAAATTCTTAGATGGCTTTAGTTTTAAATTTTGAGTTGGTCTTTGATTGTTAGGTTAATTGTATTACTTGATTTAGTTTCCAACTTTTGTATGTTGATTTGTGATCAAATATTTTGTTTGATTAAATGATTGTTTGATTAAGTTTTGAATAAATTTTATTATTGCAGACGTCATTACCCTTTCATCAAGAGGAAGAATTTTAAGAGCATGGAACTTTCCTGATGGGCATATGGTGTGGAGATCTTCTCTTCAGGGTCCAAAGCACTCAAAATCATTGTTATTAGTTCTGGTTAGTATCAGAATTTTGAATTCTTAAAATTTTTCCAATTAACATTGTTTTTCGCTCCTATCTTTTTGACACAGAGTTTGTTCTCAATGGATCATGGTTTTTGTAATTTGGATCTTACCATGCTATATTTGTTGTTCTATTGTACAATCAAGTTTATTCTTATCAAATTTGCGTCGAAAAGATTTTTAGTTGTCTATAGAAACAAGACTAAGTCATTATAGAAGTTTGCTTTATGGAACATTTCAGATAAATGTATTAACACCATGTCCAAACATTCAGATATATGCAAACATTCAAATTCTTAGTTGTCTATAGCACATACAAACATTCAGATATATATATATATATATATATATGCAAATCTAAATTTGAGCCTTTGGTTTTTGTATTGCTGTTTTTTTTTTTTACGTTTTTCTCTATTTCTTTTCAACTGTGTAATTATGTTTTTTTTTTGTTTGCTTATTTCTCAATTTATTGGACTGTTTGTATTGGTTAATTAGAAACGTAATATCAAATAACTTTATTAGTTTGAGGTTTGGTTTTTTTTTACTGTTTATATATTAATTTGAGGTGCAATGTTCAGAGATGTTTACAAAACTCTTGAGAAGGGAAAAAGAGTTAAATATTATATTGGATCCTTATCGATGCCCTGATGAAGGTAAAAGTATGAATTCAGTAAAATTTATCATGTAATATTACCCATCTTTTCATGCGAAAGACTTGATTGAAATACTTTGATACAGGCATCAATTCTGAAAGGACATAAAGAAGAAATTGTTGCAAACTACCTTCTCCAGGTAGTTTTAAGTTTTCTTTATAATCATGAACAATTTTGTTCATTAAAAATTACTTAGTTTTTTTTTTTCCTTTATGTCATATACTTTGTATTATAGGTTTTAGAATTGGAAGTTTGTGCTGACACCATAATAGAGAAAAAAAAAAAAAAAAGAGATGCGTCTTGCATGTTTTCAAGATGTTTCAGGTGAATAGCATTGTTCTTTTTTTATCAACGCTTCTAACAAAATGGTTACTCCAAAATTCATAACTTCTACCTTTTTGTTTCAGCTTGAACTTAGTGTGATCGTTGTTTCTATTTTGTGCAAGCTAGAAAACATCGCAGTACAATTGAAGATGAAACAGTCTACCCAGATGCTCTCTTTTTTGTACTTAACTCAATTTCTTTTACTAGGTTTTTGGAGTTTTCATCAGCTATTGATAAGTTTCCAATTCAATAAAATACTGAAAATTGTTGTAACAAACCTTCAAATTTAATAGGATACAGAAAATTATTATAACAAACCATGCGTAGCCGGGTTTTACACACTAGTTATAAATGAAATTTATCCCAATTAAATAAAAGAGCTCTGACTCTTGAAGTTTGCTTATTTTATGAAAAACAAAAGATGTTTGACAAAAAAAAATTATTTTAACATTCAATGCTTATTTATGATTCATTTGGATGATAATAAAATTAAAAATAGATGTAAAAATGTGATTAGATGTTATAATAATAAAATTAAAATAAATAATGAGATATGTATTTAGATAATAAAAATAATAGTGATGTTGAGATAAAATATCAAATAACAAATAAAAAAATTAAATTAAAGTTTATATATAATAAAAATTATAATATACTTGATATTTATAAAATTAATAAATAATTACAAATTATTAAAATTATTTTTATATGAAATAATAATTTTTTACTAAATATTTGGAAATTATTTTCATGTATATTTTAATGTTATTTAACATTTAAAATCTTTAAAATTTTACTCAGTAAATAAATAATGACACGTTATTTTTTATTAAAATAAGATATTTAGAATTTTAAGTATTAAAAAAATTAATAGTCTATAACATACAATTAAAAAAATCACTAAAGGGATTTAGGCTTTACTTAATAAGAATGATAAAAAGGGGTGAGAATGAAAATTTTGTTAATTCAATGGTTAAAACTCTTAATAACTTTTATATTTTGTAATTTATCTATTAGATTAATAAATTTTTCATTTTTACCCATTTCCATTCTTCTTGCCAAAATAAAACCTAAAAATAAACACCTATCCTATATAACAAAATTATCACTTTTCTTATGAACCATGAATATTTCCTTACATGTCAAAAGTTTTGTTGGCTGAATCAATAATTAAATTCTTTTTTATTGATTTTGAAAAGAAATAAACGGATTGAAATTTTACTTGTGCCACTTTAAAAATAAAAACCTTAAAATCTCATATTTCCTACTTCTATTTTTCTCACCCCTAAAAATTAAGCTTGGATCAAGTATTATCCAATTAGTTAGACAAGTAAGTTCAAGAGTAAGCCCAAACCAAGTAATAAAATGAACTTTGATAATTCTTATTAAAGCATTTTTTTATGTTCTTTAATAATTTTTTCTATTATTTATAAAAATTAAAATTATTAAAAATATATTTAAAATGTATAATAAATCAATTATTTGAAAATCCAAAGAGAAGACTTGGATTAAAAATATAAATTTTCTAAATAAATTCTTGAGTTAAAGATAATTATTGACTTCATAAAATTATTGAAAGACTCTTAAAATTTTTCAATAAGAGGATTATTTGAATATAATGTTGGCATAGGAGTATTGATAAATATATTTGTATATCTCATATAAACTAAAATAGATATCAAATGTTGTAAATATTTATAACTTTTTTCTTTAAATTTTTTATTTTATGAGTCAATTAGTAAATACAATGTTGCAACTTTTCAAATGTATGAATATTTCAAATTTCGAAAGAAAAAAAAATGATATGTTAGATTAAGTAAGTAATTCTAAAATATTTAGTTATAATTATAAAATGAATAAAAAAATAATCATCAAAAAATAAAAACTATATTTTTATAAATATATTTTTATTATTTAATATACATATATTAAAAAATATAATATTTATAAATATATATATAAAAAAAATCCCACAATGAAGTGCGAGAAGCGTTCTAGTTTAATATAAAGAGAAGCTTCAAGTGTAACTCTATTACACTTGGCAGGATGGTTGGATAGTTTCATAATTTTACATTCAATCAATTTCCAAATCCATACTTTCAAGCACATGAAATCTTTATTCTTTAATTTCCTCCAAATTTCTGATGTACACATCAATTATCACCCCATAAATGAAATCCACAATTTCTTTTCTCCATATGTATTATAAAAAGCACATTTAGACACCCAAATATGGACTGCCAAGCAGCTCCAATTCATTCCCTTTCATTTAACATGAAATGAATGGCTCACACTCATAAACACAATAAAACACCACGGCACCACACATGCATATGTAAATGTAATAAGCAAGCTGGAGAACTCAAGCCTTGGTTGGTGATCACCACATACCACCTGCAACGTAACCAAAGATCAGATCAGCACTATTAAGATTAGATATCTGACAGGTTTCAAAATAGATGTCCATGTAAATAATAACATTGAAGGCACAATTTGACTGATGAAATTAGGCCAACCATTGGGGTGGAGGAACTGGCCAGTGAAGTAGGAGGAGCATTGATTGGAGGCCAAGAACACAAAAGATGGTGCAATTTCGTGAGGTTGTGCAGCCCTGTCCATGGGAGCCTCACTCCCCAAGCTTGTGATCCAGTCCACGGGCAAAGATGCCACTTGCAGTGGAGTCCACACAGGACCCGGGGCCACGCCATTGACACGGATCCCCTTCTCAACAAGCTGGAGAGCCAGACCCTTGGTGAATGCCACAATGGCTCCTTTGGTTGCACAATAGCCTAGTAATGTTGGACTACCAGTGAAGCCAAGGACTGAAGTCGTATTGATAATGCAGCTTCCTTCTTTCATGTGCTTTAGAGCATGCCTGCACCAAATTTACTTTTTAGTGTAACATTTTATTTGAGACTTGGAGTTTTTGATGACAAAAAGAAAACAAAAAGTCCAGTCCTTTACCTACACATGAAAAAATAAGAGAAAATGTTGGTTCTAAAGGTCCTCTCAAGCCCGGATTCAGTAATTTCTTCAACACTGTTGTTGAAATGCTGTTCAGCTGCATTATTCACCAGGATGTCAATTTTTCCAAATTCTTCTACAACAACATCAATAACCCTCTTGCAATTTTCCTCATATCCGATATCAGCAGCTATGGCTAAGGCGTCTAGGGCGTCACAGGTCTTTGCTTCTTGTAGCATTTGCAAAGTATCATCCCTGTCCCTGTCCTCTTGGCCCTTGACATATGTGAAGGCCACGGTTGCACCTTCTAAAGCAAAATAGTAGCATACAGCTCTTCCTATTCCAGAGTCTCCTCCGGTCACCAATGCCACCTTTCCCTGCAGATTAGAATAAACAAATAAGAAGCAAAAGATCATAAATAAAGATCAGCAATTATTCCATGCAAGACAGCAAGCCTATTCAATACTAATTAAGTGTTACTTGGAGCTTGTTGGTTGGCTTGTATTCGGGATTTATGGCCTGTGGAAGTGGCACCATGAGATACTCTTTCCCTGGTTGTGTTTCTTGCTGCTGTGGTGGAAACTTGTCTCCACCTATTGCCATACTCTGCCTGGAGCACATGTTTATAAATTATCAAAGAAGGCTTTAATTTGCTGTACTTAATATTTGATGCATAGAAAGCTTTTTATAGGCTAACCTTGTACAGTACTGTTTGCCTTGGGCATACCATATTGGCGGTGGATTAGATTTCAACCATATTGGCGGTGGATTAGATTTCAAGGGTATTGATGTGGAGCGAGACCTCTCCAACCTCAATCTTCAGCATTGTCGTCCTCCATTTCCTGCTTTAAATTTGAATAAGGTTCATGTTTTCTTTCACGTAATGACACCTGTATGGCTAATGTGGTCGCCTTTTTCTAGACGCTTTAATTTGCTGTACTTAATTATAAATTATCAAAGAAGGTTTTAATTTGCTGTACTTAATATTTGATGGATTGAAAGCTTTTTATAGGCTAACCTTGTACAGTACTGTTTGCCTTGGGCATCATACCATATTGGCGGTGGATTAGATTTCAAAGGTATGGACATGGTGCGAGACCTCTCCAACCTCAATCTTCAGCATTGTCGTCCTCCATTTCCTGCTTTAAATTTGAAAAAGGTTCATGTTTTCTTTCACGTAACGTAATGACATCTATATGGGCTAATGGGCTAATGTGGTTGCCTTTTTCTAGACGCTTTACACTTTCCAGGATTTGACACCTCAACTGATTGATGTCCTGATGCACAGGGAGAGGTCTGGGGTTCATGTTTTCTTTCACGTTATGACATTATATGGGCTAAATGTTTTCTTTCACGTAATGACATCTATATGGGCTAATGTGTTTGCCTTTTCCTAGACGCTTTACACTTTCCAGGATTTGACACATCAACTGATTGATGTCCCGAATGCACCGGGAGAGGCCTGGGGTTCATGTTTTCTTCACGTAATGACTTATATATGGCCTAATGTGTTTGCCTTTTTCTAGACGCTTTACAGTTTCCAGGATTTGAGACATCAACTGATTGATGTTCCGAATGCACAGGGAGAGGTCTGGGGTTCAATGGAGTCAGAAAGACAGGCTGCTAAAAAACCTTTCCTTTTTCAGTTGGTTCCTGTATTGCGACGAAAATGGGTTCGAAATTGGAAAGAAACTGTATCGGTTAGGGAATAGAAATACAAATACTTTTATCCAAGACGCAAGCTGGTGAGATATTTTGATTGTTTCAGGTTTTTTCTTGCGTCCAAAAACGAAAATCCAACCATATCCCGGGTTCAACCTCCCTCTTTCTTAAAGACTTCATCAAATGTACAAAATTTTGAAGTTCTACTCGCATGCTTTTCTAAAGTAATTCCAATTTTTTCACTTTTTTAATCCTTAATAAATCCAAAACACCTTTACTTTTATATATTTATATAGTAATAAGTTCTTGGCAATTCTTCCAAGTTCAATGTTTGAACACTGTTGCCAAAAACTGGTTCTGCATTACGAGATTAATTCTCGTTAAGAGTGTAATCTATGATCTATCCGCTACACAATCTTGGAGATTTTGAACCACAATCCAAGACAAACCTATTGAAAACAGCATGGATATACGAGAATTTCTTGTTTGCTAAAAGCATAAACGACAACGTCCGCATCCCACAAACTTGATATGGATGGAGAATTCACTAAATACAAACACATTTATATAAGTAATGACAGATATCAACAATGAAAGAAACAAAAATAGGTCATTCTTGAAATAGAATCATTCGGACATTCTCAAAACAACAATGGAAAAAAAGACAAAAACAGAATGTTTGTTACGGAAAAGAACAATGCGATTAGGGTAATTCATCCAGCTGTAAAAATGGATCACTCATAGAGGATAGAACTAGAATCATTGCCTTTTTTTTTTTTCCTGTGGTCCTGGAATGGTGTATCAATGGCTCTTTCTGCTTTCAAATCTATGAGTAGATTCATTTCACCAAGGTTAAAAACTTATTGGCGACAAAAATATTAACACATCAACCATTGGTTTCTAAAAAGGCCAAGGAATTTGATAATTCAATCGACTTCTCCCAAGTTTGGTTTAATGCAACTCAAACTCATCTAACAGTAGAAAAGAAAAACTGTAAAGGCTGTTTAAACCTAGTTAAAGAACTAAAAAAATCCAGGCAGACACCAGACATGCCATATGAAACCAAGAATATTAAGGCTCCAAACAGTGAAACTTCTTTCTCCGAAGTTATCACTCAAAAAGAAAAAGGACTTATCGAGAATGTCCAATGACTCTAGCAAAACAAGAAAATGACCATTCAAAACATAAAAGTAAAAGTTTTAACACAAGTTACCAGATGTCACTCAAAAAAAAAAAGAGATATGTTTACTATCTTGCATCAAACACTCAAGCTGTCACAAGAAAATGAAAGCATTTCTGGAAATTCTACCATATCTTTAATTGCAAATTAAATCAAATTACTCCAGATAGTGATAACTTACCATAAGAAGCACAAACACATATAGAAAACCATCAAAAAGAATAATGAGAAAAACATTACAAATGCTGCTGAAGAAAATGAATATTCAACAAATTAATTACAACAAAAAAGGGGAGGGTGATGAAGGAGATGCAACTATAAGCAATAATAAGAAAATCATTGGCCACTTGTTTCCCATTTGTTTTTCCTTTCAATGTTTACACATTTCGATGAAAAAATCTAAATCAAGAAGTACAAATAAGCATTAAAAAAATTATTTATCTCACAAACTCATAAGGTTGCAATGAGATCAGAGCAAGAGTATTTTTCCAACTCTTACAGAGATCATTTACAAGTTGCCATTGAAATTGTCATCAGCGTTAGACCACCTTCTCAATGTGCATGCCACCAAATTCCTACCCGCAAAAAGCCCCAACTTAGACCTCAACAATGCTAACCTACCATTGCCGCTTGTTGAAGTATCTGCACCAGTTACTTGGCCAACCACCTGCGGAAACTCCACACCAATTTCATGAACTCCACCATCGCTGACACTAGCCTCGAAACCACCATCTATCTCACAAGCATCCATATTGATCACCATTGATCCCCTTTGTTCACGCAACCACTCACCAGCCTCACTACTCACTCCTCTACATTTCCTCACCTTAATTTTCACCAAACTGGGACAGCCACAACCAAGTGCTCCAATAGAAATATTTGAAATAGGACATCCCTTGATGCAAAGTTTCTTCAACGCCATACATTTTTCTGCAATGCATGAAATCTCTGCATCACCAATCGTTCCACTTCCGCAAAGTGCTAACCTCTCAAGTTTCGTACAATTAGAAGCAATGGCCGCCAAGCTCAAATAGGTAGCATTGACACCAATCAAAACAAGTTCCTGCAAATTAAAACAGTGTTTGGCTACAGCAACCAAACCCTCATCTCCAATCCTATTAGTCCTCCATCCGTCAATATGAAGCTTCCTCAACAACTTACAATTCTCAGCTACACAAACAAGCCCGTAATTCGAACACTCTGGGGTTTTCACAATATGCAAATTCTCAATTTTGGCAGATTTGGAAATCGCAGATAGCCCTATATCACTTACCTGAATCCTCTCAAGGTGAATTTCCATCAAAGAATTACTACCACAATTGCTATTATTATTATTGTTATTAAAATTCAATTTTTCTTTTCCGTTTCCATTTGGATTTCCAATTAATTGAAGTACTCTATCCCAATCACCCAAACAATGAATAATTTTCAAAGTTTTAAGGTTTTTTGATCTAATCATAAGCGGTTCAAAAGACTGACCGTTAACGAGCTCTTTCAAGCAAATCATTTTCAGCGAAGAAGCTGCGGCTCCTGGACCAATCGGCTCAGCTCCGTCGTGGATTCCTCTGAGCCTTTTCACTGACAACTCTTCTAAATTCCAGCAATAATCGAGGACGGCGTTTAAAGCTTTGGCGCCAAACATGCAAGATCCACAAGAAAGTTTCCTTAAATTCTTAGAATTCTGAGCAAATGCCGACATTCCTTCGTCGCTAATTTCGCGGCAACCGCGGAGCTTTAGCCGTGTGAGGTTTCGGCAACGGATTGAGATCATAACCAAAGCGTCGTCGGTTAAGCTGAGTGATTTACGGCTACAACGTAGGGCGAGTTTGGTTACGGAGTCGAAGCGCGTAAAGAGAGAAGGCAAAAGAGCGACGATCTCAGAATGGGCGTTGAGAGACAAACGGTGGCGGCTCTCACCGTCCACGCTCAACCACCGCTTGCAGACAAGGGAACACTGGTTCCGATCTCCAGGGCCGAGGAATTGGAAAACATAAGCCAAACACTCGTCGGGAATCTCAGCGGTGTAATCCCGATTGGCCACGATTTCATCGGGAAATTCCTCGCTGGAAATGAAACCAGAAGACGATAAAATGCTGAACCGATCGCTGAGGGAGTTTTCCCTGTCTACAGTGGCTGAAGGGGATTGGCCCATTGTGGCTAGTGGAAAGTACGCGCCACCAAATGGAAAGTAACTGAGAAAAGCCTCTCTTTTTTTTTTTTTTTTGGGTGGGGGGTTTGGCTATCCGTAAGGTTCGATTCGGTCCCGGAAAATGTTAGTGGGAGTGAAATTTTAAAGCGGAAAAAGGATTGAAATTAGGTACGTGAAATTGGGCCCCGTCAAATGGGGGGTGCGTGTCCTTATCGCAAGCCGACTGGACACCCTTTTTTCTATTTAACTGCCCCAACTTTTTTTTTATTCTTTTGGAATGGATGGCAATGATTTTAAGGCCCCCACATTTGATTTAGTATCAGTTGACACGTGGCAACTTTAAAAGGAAAATTGGTAAATATTTTATCGGATAAGGTAGAAAATCTAGCTTTGGATTTAGGCTTCTTTTGGGATTTTTTAAGAGAACAATGCAAGTAGTTTAGAGGATTTGGATTATGACGAGTATTCTGTTTTTTTTTACTTAGATTATTAGAAATTAATTTTTTATTATAAACAGATTATGTTACTTTTGATGAAATATATTTTAATTATGAATTTATCTCGACATAAAAATTAATGAACTTTTATTTCTAACCCTCTCTACAATTATAGATTATAATTATAATTTTTTTTTATTTTTCTCAGGTCTTATATTGAAAAAAAAAATAGTAAGAATGGTAAGTATCAAGTATCAATGATGCTCATTTCTTAATAGCATTTGAGTTAGAGTTCTATTTATGTATTTATTTTTTAAATAATTGAATTTAAGTTGATTAATTAGGAATTAGTGGGTGAATGGATTAAAAAACTTATATTCTACTTTAACGGCCGAATAATTGAAAAAAAAAAAAATACTACTTAATGGATTGGAATTGTATATAAAGAAAACCTCAAAGTCTTTGAATAGGCAGGCAAAAAGAAGAAACAGTTCAAAGCATCTTCTATTTGCATTTGAATTGTATGCGTGAATCAAAGTCTCATGTTTGAAACCATTTATTTAGTACCAAATTTTGTCTGTATTTTTAAGTTTTAAATGTTACGCAAAGGAAGCACAATGTAAACGGAAGAAAATTCCCTCCCTTTGTTATTTTGTGGAAACCAAATTAACAAACAAAATGAGAGAAAAACGCTAAAAACACTATCTATTTGGCTTTAGGATTGTAAATGAATCAAAAATAAATCAACAACATATATATTTTTGTTTATTCATTTATTTTTCAAACTATTTATATTCAATTCATATTTATTAAAAAATTACTCTATTTATTTATTTAAATAATAAATTATTCGTATTTAGTTTATATTTATTCAATTAAATTAAACGATTTCGTTCTTTAATATTAAATAAACATATTTACGAACACATATAAATAAACACATTTATAAACAATAAACAAATTATAACTAAACAAATTTAAAAAAATAAATTTTAAACAAACCTAAATAAATGTAACCAAATTTAAAATAGAATTAAAGTAAATAATAAAAATATAATTTTATTAATATTATTATAAACGTGCATAAACAAACAACAAAAAAATAATAAATAAACAAATTTTTAAAAAAAATTATAAACGAATTTATTTAGAAACATAAATGAATAAACAGATAGTTATCTGTATTCAATTTATTTAATATACAAATAATATTTAATATTATTTATTAAGTTTAATAAATAAATAAAAATTAAATATATTAATAAATGATTCATCAAAAATTTGTTCGTTTACACCTTTATTTGGCTTATTATGTATGATAAAAATAGTATTATTTCATACATAGATATTATCACGTATTAAAAAAAAAAAAAAAGGCGAAGTTTATATGAAATTTGTTACCAGTATTTTTTAATATATTTGTACTTTTCCAGGAAAATAGCACATAGTTTTCTAGAAATTAAAAAAAGAAAAAGGGCATTCAACGGTCAAAAATGCGGCTCTAACACTTCAACTGACGGTGCAATACGTTTGAAATAAGGTTACCTGGACTCTAAGTCTCGACCGTACTGGCAAAGTTCCTAGTTTCAACATTGGGCAAGCGAACCCCATCCCTCGCTTGCTATGAACGACGAAATAACAGTATTTTCTTTACAACTTTTAACCAATAATTAACCTACTCACCCTTAATATATCTTAAAATCAATTAACTGATCATTAAAGACTGTAAATTCGAAAATTTTATATATATTATTTTTATTAAATAAATAATTAAATTTTTTTTCAAAGGAACAACTAGAGTATAAAATTTTGTTGTGATATTTTTTTAAAAAGGGCCAAAAATTATGATTTTGAAGCAGTCATCAAACAAGTTAAATGGGAATTCCTTTGTGGCACTTAGATTCAACATTTTGGATTTTCCAATTTGTCAAATTGTAAGAAAAAGTGGGTTTTGATGTGTATTTTTCTTTGAAAAGATAAAAAAGTGGAAAGTATCAAACCCTTAAATTTAGAACAATCCATTATAGGGCATTGTCACCTCTTTAATTCATTAAATTTTATTTCATTTTTGCCTTTTCCAAAGGCCTCATTTTTTAATGCATTAAGTAATCCAAGCTTTTTTTTTTTTAAATAAATCATTTGGTGTAAAAACATACAAGAATAAAATATGAGCTACCCAAAGAATAAATATAGGATAAGATATAATGGAAAATTAAAATCATAAAATAAAATTAAAATTAAAAACCCAAAGAGTGAATATTTATTTAAAAAAAAAACTCATATTAGTTTCTACTTGAACCCAATAAAACAAGAAATTGGGTATCAATGTGATTATGAACCCAATCTGTTAAACTATTGCTGTAACCTTAAATTGGGCCAAGCCTTCACTTTTCGGTGGCCCTTAGGATTTTAAATCTAAGGTTAACATAAAAAAATTTTTTTTTCTTTATAGTAAGATCCTGTGAAGATTTGAACTTTTATTATTGGAATTAAGAAATTTATATTCTATCATAATACATAAAAAAGTTAGGAGGGGAAATAGTGAAATTTTCACAGTAAACTAGTATATGATCAATAAGGTATTGACTGATCTAATTCATTTATTAATATATAAATTGAGATAATGAGAGTCTTTTAATTCAATTTATATTTAAATGTATGATTAAATATAAAATTGAATATATATATATAGAAACTTACCAAAAAAAAAACTTACTTTAAAGTTGAGTTAGTTAAGGATTTAAGCTTTTAGGATAAAGAATAATCAACTCTTCTCCATTGACTAACACACTAATCCTTCAACAGATGACAATGGAACATCTCCATATTGGACTATTGGAGCATTCCTTTTGCAAGTCCATATTTTAATGATGATGCTTACGTAATGTCATGCACCCACCATATATTTCATGTTCGAACAAAACATGCCATGATTACAGCCATTGATCCCAAATCGATTCATTACCTCTTTGGCAACGATATTTCATTGTTTTATCACTTTCCATCCTTAAAAAAAATACTAATGTTTAATATAAGGGGGCGTTTGGTTTAAGGGAATCCATGCATTTTTTTTTCAAAATCTTATTATTGGGTATTTAATTATAATGTTTAGTTTAAAATAATCTGATTTTGAAAAAACTAACAAATTTTCAACAATATCCAAAGTATCAAAATAAAAAATTTCTCTTTTTGTAATATTCTAAGATTTCAAGGGAAAAATAGCATTATTACAAAATTTGATCTAAATAAAAAATTGTGAAATAATCGTTACCCTTTTGATTTTTTGAAGGAGATTATTTAAAGTATTTTTAGACAAAAAAATACCTTAAATAATTAAATAATCTCTTATTTAAGATATTTTTTATTAAATACGCCTCAAATAATACATTTTATTTTTTGAAGAAAATTATTTAATCCCTTATTTAAGGCATTTTTGTTAAATAATCCCCTTTAAAATGTATCAGCGAATTTTTTATAGTGTTTTAAGTCTAAAAATACCTTTAATAATATCATTCAAATTTGTTTAGCTTATTTAAGGCATTTTTGTAGAAAAATGCCTTAAATAATCTCTTTTAAAATGTATCATCAAATTTTTTAAGGCCTTTTTAGTAAAAAAAAAACCTTAAATAAACTAAATAAAAAAAATAAAGGGTGTTATTTAAGGTACTTTTTGATTAAAAAATACCTTAAAAAATTCGTTAATATATTTTAAAGAGAATTATTTAAGGTGATTTTGAACCAAAAATACCTTAAATAATTCATTTTAAAAAAATATTGGAGATTATTTAAGAAATTTTTGGATAAAAATACCTTAAATAATCTCCTTTAAAAAATTACTGAGGATTATTTAAGGTATTTTTGGATCAAAATACCTTAAATAATCCTCTTATATTTTTTAAATAGTTAACAACCATCATATTTATCAAAAGGATTATAGTAATTATTTATGATTTAATATATGTGAATTATCCCTAACTAAACAAGTGAATATGAATATGAGATGTCTTGAAAAAATTTTTTTCGAATATTGTATTTTCTTGAAGATCGCATTTTTTCTTAAAATCTATGATTCCACGAACTAAACGTCTCCTAAGTGTTTTAGCTAAAAACATGTTGACATATGGTCAAAATAGGATTTGAATTTGAAGTCATGATCAAGTTTGGTGAACTATATATACCTTTCTTTTTTAACATTTTAGCCAAAGTTAAAATAGCCATGGGTGTGAATGTGATTCATGATTGCTTTTATGTTTTAATGGGTTCAAATTTATGTTATTGCTCGAGTGGATGGCAGTAAAAGCAAATCAAAGTATTGAAGTGAAGATAAAAAAAGAAAATTCTTTCATTTGTTAATTTGTTAAATTGAAGCAATTTGAACTTATTAATATAATAAGGCATATTTATCTATTGTCAATTAATTTCAGATTGAATTTCATATTAAAGTGGAGATAAAAAAAATCTTACATATATTAAATTAGAGAAGTAATCTGGACACATAAATATAACATAATGATCTGATTAACTTTAAATTAAATCTTCATCTTAAAGTTTATCATGATATCAAAACACATGCTATTCTTATTCGTTGTCCCCTCCAAAATAGATTTGCCATGCCTACACTTGTGATGGGTTCATTTGTTGTCCCCTTCATAATATGTTTATTATATCTACACGTGAAGTATTTGTCAGATGATAAATCTATCGTTCTTACACGTGAAGGAGAGTATTGACGATCCAAGTAAAGATAAAAAAAAAAAATC